ACGTTTTCCAAGCGAGCGCTCAACACAGAGTAAACGAATGCGCGTAATTAACTCGTTCTCTTCACAGAAAATCTCTTGACAAGGAGCAACATTTTTTGTTTTGTTTTGTTTTTATTTGCGATAAAAGTCACGTATAAAACGTCGCGACACCAGAACATGCGACATTGCGAATTAAAACAACTTCATCCAGACGTTTCGTTTGAACAGTCGTCGTCCAGGCGACGACAATCGCGCGAATTATAACAATTTTTCGCGTTTTACTTAAACAATCCTTTTTTGTTTCGCGAGATCGACGCGAGTTAAACACAACGCTACAAATACAGAAAACGTGTTGTTGCAAAGTATTTCACGTTCAATTAATCTAACGTATACACACACACACACACACCCGTTTTCCGTACGTGTCCGATAATCGTTGTATTTTAATCGAGTGTGATGCTCGCTACGATTATCATCGGCGTGTTATTTTCAATATACATACATCGTGAATATACATGCTTTTCCACCAAATTATCCAACAACGCAACGGAGGGAGGGAGAGAGGAAGAAACCAACCACGAGAGCGTTCGTTACCAACACGCTGATTGACGTGGCTAATTGTGTAAAAATTTGACACGCCGTGTCTCTCTCGACGAGAAGGCGTCGCGGTGTGTGTTTCAAACGTTTGACGAACTTAATGAGAACGTTGTTTGACCGTCGTTAAGGACACGCGCACGCGCGTTTTAAGACTTTTCTCTTACGATTTGTCAAAAAAACTTTCGACCCAAACTTCGACGCTCGGTTTCCAAAACCTCCGGTAACTTCAACATCCATTTCTCAGTTGAGTCACCTCATTAACTTCACCTTGCAATTTAAATCCCCGGATCTAATTTCGCATCGCCCGCCTCCCTCGACCCGTAACATCTGCCACGCGACCAGTCAGATAACGTTTTTCAAGTTTCTTTCTCGGCGGCGCGCGTTTCCGCGTGTATATCTTCGTCATTTAATTCTCTTACGATTCGCGCGGGAAAACACTCCCGCGTTCGAGATCTCGCGTCGACCCTCTTTTCTCGGAGGGAAGTCCGCTTCAAATTTCGAGGGGAATTGCGTTCGAATAAAAATTTTACGACGACGTCGCCGAGATGCAACATCGCTCAGATGCCACATCTGAGATTGATACTTTTGTTTCCTTCTTTTCGAGAACTTTTTCAAGTTCCAAATGCAAATCCACATCGTCGCGCGAATAAATGTGTAAAAGTCAAAGTCGCTTTACAAACTCTCTCACGCGACAAAATGGAGGCAACGAGCTTCTTATGCAAATGTGTTTTGCCTGTTGAGCAGCTCGTTGCGTAATACAATTGCTTTAAAGTGACCCTGATGTAGGTAGGCGCTTGTTTATATTGTTACAGCTTTGTTTGCTATCGCACATGCATCGTATATTTCATGTTTTTTTCTCTCAGAAGGTTTGCTTTGGACTAAGTGCGCGCGCTTTTGCGTCGCCAACTGTTCGTTCGCAAGTACATTTATCCGCAGTATCAATTTTTGCCTCTTACGCATATCGTTGCCTCGCACTCTGTTGCGGTGTAGAATTTAACCGAAAAGAAAAAAAATCTAAAACAATCGGAAGTAGATCGATTCTCGCGCGAGAAAATGTTTGTTGTAAGCGCGCGCGCGCGCGCGCTCAAGTGAGAAAGAGAGAGAGAGAGAGAGAATATACGCGGCCGCTAATTGCGTTTGTCATACCGATAATTAATAATGCGTCGCTCGGAGCTGCGCGACGACTGACCGGCGAATTAAATGCATTAACGACGATAATCGGGTTGCGGTGAATTCCAAATCGAAAATACACCGACGGCGAGTTATTGAATGCAAACGAGGCCGCGATCAATCATCCGGCTCGGCTACTGGCTTTCGACGCCCGTAATGACGTTACGGCCGCTTTGCATCGCTATCACTGATTAGGGGCGAGAAGAGGCGGCCGCAAGAAGCGAGAGATAGATAGATGGAGGAGGATGAGGAGGATCAGGATGAAACAAAACGCGCTCGCGAGTTCTCCACTTGCTAGATACAAAGCCCTGCAGAGGATTAAACGGACGGGTTCGAAAGGCCTCGTTGTATCTCGGGTTTATATCGTTATTTAGCAGTCCGAGAGTTTATAGAACGTCAAAGACCGCATTGACTGACTAAATACGTACGTTTCGCGCATATACGTAGGAATTCGCGAACAACGCACCGTTCTGGTTTCTCATTGTGTGCCGCGCGACATCAAAACGGATCTCTTATCAGCCCTCTCCGTTCTTCCGAGAGGAATTTCGCTTATCGATTTAATCATTTGAGCGCTCGGCAACGCACGACTTTGTGCAAAAGTCAACGGTAATAATAGCGTAATAATAAACAATAGAGAGAATCGTTAGTTTCGAGTTAGCAGCCGCGAGCGAAACGGCTCTTAGCGCGCATTTATATTCACATCCCTTAACCGCACGAACGCTCGCGCGGCTTGAATTTCCAATTATCGTTCCTAATTGACACCGCTACTGTCCGTGTAGATAGAAAGAGAGAGAGAGAGAGAGAGAAACTCACCCGCTTGCTATTTCCATATTTGCTTTTGTTTCGTGCATGTGCGCGTGGGCGACGAGAGACTGCGAAATAATCCTCCTCGTGGCGCGGTTTCCTCGACGAGCGCAGATATTCGGGCGTTACACGAGGAAAGGAACGAGAGAGACGCACATTCGGGGAAGAAAGCCGAATGAATAATCGCGCGTCGCGAACGTCGACGCGTCGTTCGATGGCGAATTTGATTTGCGGAAGAATGGGCGACAGACGACGACAGTTGTCGCGCACGACGACGATCTACGCTCTGCTGCTGATAGTGTGCGCCACGTTAACGGTATCAAGCTGCTGCTACATTTTCCCGAAAGGTATTTCACTTGCGCGCTGCCTGTAACAAAACTCTCTCTCATCATTTTCCGCGTTGTTGTCGCGAACCGCGCGGCGTATGTTGTCACGTTTCGAGAGCGGCTCGCCGCTACTCCAAAGTATTGAAATTTTACCGCGGAACTTCGGCGTTTGTTTGTGTCACTGACGAATTATTAACGAGGAATCCGTTGTGCGAGCTCTTTCAGCGTGTTCTCCGAAATTGAAAATGCGATCCTCGTTGGAACCCCGTTGCGTACGAACATTAATTCGCAACCGAATGCCGAAGCGACGTTTTTATTGAATTTGACGCGAAAGAAAAGACGTGGTCGAAAAACTGATTGACTCGTGACAAAATTCATTGAAGAGTTTAGACAAATTTTAGACCAAAATCTAATGAAGAAAATATTAAGAAATCGACATGTCATTGAATTACTTGATGTTTTTAAAGTACTTTTTAAAGCGAGATAATTACAAATATAAGAGTAGAAGAGTTTGTTTTTTATTTATAAATCTTTTTGTTTTGTCGGAGAAGCGATCGCGGAAGAACTTGACAAAAATTCTCCCGCGTAAAATAATTCACGCGAGCAACTGAACGTAAACCATCATGCCGTCCACTCTTCTCGAGAAATATATATCTCGGTCGCTCGGCGTCGCTCTTATATGGAAATATTCAGCCCCGCAAATTTCGCACGCGCGATAAAATTTTCACCGAACACAAAACCGCGGGCTCTCTTTTTTTTTTTTTTTTTTTGACCATTCGGTCCTTAGGGATATATCGCCGTACAGAATGGGAAGGGAAAGTGGGATTAATGATCCGGCACGCATTTTTTTTTTTTTTTTTTTTCAGCCGAGCTGAAAATGCAACCGCCGCGCGCGAAAATTTCGTCACGAGTGAATCCCGGCGGACCGGATAGTTTATTCATCGCGAATCGCGAGGATTTAATTTCACGGCGCGTTACGGTCCGCGCGTGTACACGTACGTCACCTCGTCGTGTTTACAGTTCGCAATTACATTTCGCGGCGGCGGCGGCGGCGGCGGCGACGGCGGTGTCGCGATGCGAAGCGTCACAGATAAAAAAAATATCATTGATTAAGCGCCGCGAACCGCGAATCGCGCATTTTTCGTTTGCGCGCGTGCACACACACACACACACACACACACACACACAAACCGAATGACACACGCGCGCCGAAAAGAATTTTCGCACAGTTGGTCTTTCGGTTGAAAAAGTCAGCCGCTGATTATCGCGAAGAGGAATGCGAACGAGCGCAAATAAACGATGAAAAACAATGAAATTTGCGAGATTTGTGCAAACGAAACGAAACATATATCGTGTGTGTGTGCGCGCGCGCGCGAATATGGATAAGAATTTGTAAAACGGAATGTAGAGAGGCCAAAAACATTTACATTTAAAACTCGCTCGAGCATATTTTTCACATTAAAACCGAAGTGAATACGCGTGAAAGGCATTCGCTTCGCGAATCGACATGCGCACGTCGCCAACAATGACACACGTTACGTCGCACCATTTTGCGAGGAGCATCGCGAGAAGGATTACATGCTGCTTGACATTTCCGTCGGTAAACTGTATGCGGTAATTCCGATCCGCAAATACAAGAGCATTAAATTCTCTACGTATCTCTGCCGTGATTGTCTTCGGTAAACGTACATCGCGATGAAGCGGCGTTGATCCTATTCGTCATTGGCTTTCGTCCCGTTACTTCGGAATTGAAGCTGTCAGCGGCTTCCATCAACGAGATTGTTCGTACCGTCGAACTGCTCTCTCGTCAACGGATTATCGCTCCATTACTAATTCGTTTTCTGCGTGAAGCGCGCGCATTATCACGCACAATGAAGCGGAGAGAGAGCCATCTTGCGCGATGTATTTAATCTTGCATTCGATCTGTTTTTCGATCGAAAAGGCAAGCAGCCTTGTCGTTTACAATACTTAATGCTCGAATTTATTTGCGAGAAAAATCAAAAGAAAAAATTATTTGCGCGATAATATTATTAAATTGTTTTTCTTTAAATAATAAAATGACAGATCGTTGATCTTATTGGGACGCACCGATTAATAATCGTGCTTTGATGTTTTCTTTTGCAGAGATCAAAGATCCCTGCGTGAACTTGAACTGCTCGCAAGGCTCGCATTGTGTACGAAGCAGAGACGGCAAGGAGGCAACTTGCGAATGCTTGGAATCCTGCCCAAATTTGGGAGATCACGAGGAATCGGGACCTGTCTGCGGTACGGATGGGATCGACTATCCAACGCAGTGTGACCTAAATCGAGCCGCTTGCGCGAAAGGTGCTAACATCACCGTGGCGTTTCGTGGGAAATGCGGTAAGTGCTCCTATTATTGCAAATGGTCGGAACTTCGAGCGAATGTTGATCCCGAGCGAAAGTATAATCAAGAGGCACGTGCTCTCGCATTAAATTAATTATATATAAATTATATATAAATTAATATTATATAATATAAATATATATATATACT